GCTGGGGTGCTTGAGTAGCACCCAGTGTATGGGGAGACCTACAAGGGGTCCAGGAGTTTACGTGCCCAAGGAGACGCAAGGCAGTCTCCCTATTACATTTTACTTTAAGAGCAAAGACGTGGCGGGCGAGAATGGAGGGGGCCCTTGGGCCAAATTAGCGCGGAGAGAGGGCCTTGAGGAGATCATGGCCCTCCTGAAGGACCCCGCTGTGACACACTGATTAGCCCAGCAGGGAATTGATAACAGTGTTTATCACCCCCTAACTCACCCCATTAAGAAAACAATTGAGGGATGTTACCAGCTACCTATTGATTCTGTCTGTTGGTTCTGCCTGTTGATTCAGCGGGGACCATAGCCAGCATGTGGTCTGCTAGCTAATACACAGACACCTCCTCAGCAAGGCAGAGAAGAGGGTGAAATTCCTGTTTAACAGGGAGTGGTGAGAGGGAGCAGCCTGCAGTCTGTGCTGGAGCAGCAGCCAGTGAGCAGAGGGGAGGGGCCAGGTCTGCTGTGAAGCAGAGAGCCCCACCCAGCCCAAAGAGGATGATGGGATGCTGGGGGAGTTTGGTTTATCTTAAACCAGCAAGGGGTCTGGGACAGACATTGCATAAATTGGTTTGACCCAAATCAGTTAAGTCTGAAACTACATTCAACCAGGTTTCTCTCAAACCAGTTTCAGCCATTTTCAAACTGGTTTATGTGTACTGAACATCTGTTCTGTTACAGGTTTAAACCAGTTTCTGATCACTTAAACTGGTTTATGTTTAATGTCTGTCCCTAGCCATAAGTTTTAGCCCTGGTCTGGTCTTGTGTACAAATAGACCTCCCCCTTCAGAGGTCCAAGGGCTTCCATGGGGCTCTTCGTATGCAAAATCAGCTCATATGGTTTCCAGTGCAGATTTGGGACATTAGTTTGCAGTTAATATTTGAACAAAAGATGTGATGCATCAATAGGGGACAGCAGGACCCATCTGTATTTTTCATACATTGCACTACTTTAGAATACAATAATTATTTTTTGACATGAGCCACAAATGATCTGTGACTATTTACTAACCTCATTAAATCAGAAAGTTGCAAGTTTTGTTACTGAATGGGCAAGTGGCCATCTAATCAGCAGATATTAAATTAGTTCTTGGAAACTGTTCTTTATAATCATTATTCAGGTAAATAGCATTTTCTTACTGGTGCAGTCATCTTGAGTGCAATGGAATTCTTGGCATGAGCAAAGATTTCTAGATTGGGCCTCAATGCAAGGGAAATGATTGCATATGACACTTCATTCATTATCATGCCATCAAGATTAAGCTTTTGGAGCACCTGAATTAAAATTTAGTTTTGATATCACCTAGTTAGAAATTTATTTATTCTTAATACATTAGCTTTCCAACTAAACATGAGATTATTGGAAATACAGTGAAAGTATTCATATTATAGATGTACACATGTGTATCTAGCTAGATCCATGTCTGCTTATGAATTCAGTAATAAGCTCACCTCATAACCTGGAATTCCTGGCTCTCCTTCAAGTCCCATTTCTCCTAAATGTCCCTATTAATAAACAGCAGTAGAAAAATAAATACATTCTTTTAAGATATTGTGACAAAAAGTGCTTTTAAAAAAGCATGTGTATTTTTAAAAGGAACCTTTATTGTTTAAAACACCAGACTTTGAAAAGGAACTCTCTTTACTCCATTAGTTACATGATGCTGTTCTTCTGTTTACTACAGAAACATACAGTCAAACATCTTCCAACCTGGATGCCTGATATGAGGTTCCCAAATCCATTTTTAGGCACTTAAAGGAGAGTATCTAATTTTAAAAGTGCTGAAGACCTCAAATCCCTGCAGCAGTTAATGGAAGCTGTAAGTGCTCATCATGTTTGAAAACCAGGAGCCTAAATGGGGTTTAGACTCTTTAGTTTAGGTGACCATATGTAAAAATGTTGGCCGCTAGCAATGTATTTGTTTAGTTCACTCCTTCTGTGTGCAGATACATGGTAATGCCACTGAAGTAAAGCATATTTCCAAGACTTTCATCAGGGTGTAGGACAGGATTTGGCGCTGGGATGCTCAGATTTGTGAGTTAATTGTTAGACACAATTTCCTCTTTGTATAGAGAAAGTTTGATTTGTGGTCTAACAAGTTTAAGGTGGTCACTTATAAATATCCTTCATTAACACAATCAGCGCATAGGTTAGGCTAGGATTTAGAGTAACTGTGTGATGACAATAGGCAGAGCGGAATTAGACAGTTAGACAATCAGAGAGAACTGCCAGTCTGTTCCAGCAGCCTCACTAAACAAATTCTCTTTCATACACTATACAGAGATCTGTCTATTCCCTTATATGAGAGATGCTATGCCTCTACACTGGAAATATTACTTCTTAAAATAAACATGTACTGCACTAACCAATGGACCTCTAGTTCCTCTTGCACCTTTAGGACCAATTTCTCCAGGGTGGCCAGGATCTCCTGGGGGTCCAGTCTCTCCTGGGGGTCCTAGCTGGCCCTTCTCCCCCTGTAGGAGTTATTTTATTAAAATAAATCAGTAGAGAGAAAGAAATAGTTCAAATACCAGTTTATATTTAACAAACAACTTGGATTTACTATTATTCAAAAAGAATATATTTTTTTCAAATATTTTTATTCTTTAACAGTACTTTTTAAAAACAATGTAACTAGAATGAAGATGATTATACTGATAATTCACCACAGTTTTCTAGTTATTTCTTTTATTTTAACCAAAGCTTTATATTTTTATACTACAACTCATGGGCCTGAACTGCAAAATTCACATCCAGATCCTGATGTAAATTTCCCCAGTATTTTAAGAGGCCGGGTGTAATGGTGCAGGCTCCTATTACAATAATAATTACTGGGGCTGGTGACAAAAAAAAACTTTGTCTAGTTTTAGGGCAAAGTGAGAGATGAGATGCAGAGTGCTTGTTTTATGCTAAGTCTTAACATGTTTGAGTCTGTAGCATGAAGCTAAGAGTAAGGCAGCAAAAACCTTTCTGTGACCTCGGATCCATCATCACCAAGTGATTTTAAAAAATTCTTTTTTTAATACTAATTCACATCACAGACAAAAAGGAAGGAAGGAAAACAGGAAAGATGAAAAAGACATTACCTTTTTTCCTGGACGACCTCTTTGACCTGGATTTCCTGCAGTACCTTCTGGACCCTGCATATTTGTCATGGAGGGAGAAACAGATGTTCAAACAGGACTCTAAAATATGTCTAAACTTTACTTCAAATTGGACATTCTAAGTGTGGCTTTTCTCTCTTACAGATGTGGGTGGAAAAATATCATTAACCTTGGCTGTGAGCAAATTCTAACAGGGTATATCATGTCAGAGAACAATGAAGTAACTAAGTACCAGCTTTTACCAAACCGGTGAAAAAGTGCTGAAACAGCAAAAGACTTGTCTGGAAAGAAAATGTTATGGCAGGAATAAAATTCCTTCAAGTCATCTCACTAGTGAAGTACAATATTGAGGCAGGGGAAAACAAAATTGGGAACATAAGGATCCATAGTTAAAAGGAGCCAGGCAACATTATCCACAACATCTTGCTGCCAATCAGCTAGCAATCCTGACTGGGGGCCAACAAGGGAGAACCTGAACCTTAGACCTATGCTCTGTTCTCAGCTATTCAGATAACTTCAAAACATGATCTCACAAAAGCATGAGGTGCCAGGATCTCACTCGGCAGTTTGTCATTTCACTTTAGCTAGAAAGCCCAATGATTAAAGCCGACTGCATGTGGGGAAAGAAGGTTAGGTTTCTTCTTTTAGAGGAGATGGAAAAATGGTGGTGAATATCCAGGACCAATGTAAATTAAAGCCATCTTTCACTTTCCTCTTCTTTGTTTAGACGCGAGTCCAAAATGAAACTGTTGTTTTGAGGTTTGAGGGTGTTAATCTATTAGTCCAAACTTTACGGCTTGTCCTCATTCCTATAATGAAGCCAAATTAACATCCACACTCTAAAACAGTGTTTCCCAAACATACCAGAGGCACACTTATTTTCTGTATTAAAATTGGCAACACATATGACTTACATTCAGGAAAGAGT